AGGTCCCTTCCGACCCTACTAACTATGAAACTATGAATTTATCCAGTGCCTTTTTGAACCTGGCTCTGCTACCTGCCTCCACCACGTCCCATGGCAACGAACTGCACAAGCTAACTACGCATTCATTACAAGTTCTGCCACTGACATCGCTGAGAGCAGGATCGGGCCCAGAGGGTGGGAGAATCTGGTTCATCCCACGTCTTACCGACTCTTCCCCCTTCCTTTCGCTTCCCCAGAGAAGTTTCTTCACAACCAGCACCTCAGCTACGGGCAGCTCCTCTCACTGCACATCCGAGTGGAGGGGAACGAAACTGGACCCTTGGCGTTTCCCATCGGGCTGGTCTTGGAGGGAGACGGCATCGTGGTGTCGTCGAGCTCCTCGGCACCGCCAGGCGGGGACAGCCAGTCCCTCGCTGCCGAGCATGAGGCCATTTTCAGGTACAAGTGGTCTGAGTCCCCCGCCCTGCCCACGAGCATCCATGTCCCCAAAACCCAGCAGCACAGCTGGCCCCACTGTTGGCAGAAGCCGGCAGAGAGGGCGCAGGCCTTCAAGACCTGCAGAAAGCCGAGCACAGGCCAATAGCTTGAAGTTGCAGCAGAGTAAGTTGATATTGGACCTCAGCAAAAACCTCTCCACTGTTAGAGCAGTGAGGCAGTGGGTGGACACCTGGGGAAGATGAGGACTCTCCATCAGTGGAGGTGTTCACGGAGAGCCGCTGGTCCGGGGTAATATCGGTGTAGCGATGCCTATGTTCTGCTGTGGCGATTCCCCAGGTTTCTGGGCTTGGTGGTTGCCACCTGGGGCTGGGAGGGAATTTCTCCCCACGCCTTGCCACTACGTGTCTCAGAGGTTTTTTAAGCCTTCCCCAGAGGCACTGGCTGTCGTCTGTAGCCAAATCTGGGGATTGTGACTGGACTGTGCCTATGCTTCTGCTGGGATTTAAACCCGGAGGGTCCTGGCTAGAGGGTCTTGCCCTCCTGCTCAGGGTCAAACCGATCGCTGTATTTGGGGTCAGGAAGGAATTTTCCTCCATGGTCAGACGGATACCACCTGGGGGTGTTGTAGCGGGGGCACAGCCTCTTCCTGGGATCTCTGGGGGGTATATTAACAACTTTACAGAAGCAGGACATTGGCCACCATGGCTTCACCTGGGGCAGGTTCGGGTGTGACGTCTGGTGTTGTGTCAGGGTTGACTGTAGTTTTACCAAGGGGCCAGACAATGGATGTGCTGGGATGGTTTGGGACCGGGAGGATCCTGCCTCAGGCATGGGCTTGGACTCAGTGACCTCTGGAGGTCCCTTCCAGCCCCACTTCTGTATCGTCCTGTGAGAGCGAACTCTGCCAGCACCTTCCCCTGGGGCTAATTTCGCCTTGCTTTTCTCCCCAAGCAGCCTCCTTCTCTATTGCCCGTGAACACACGTGCATGCATGCACTCACACCCACACCCATACCCGCACACACACCACAGGGAATCGGGGCCTGAGTCTCCTCTGGTAATTCATAGACATGCCTCCTGCCATTCCCCTGTCTCTGATGCAGCTGGGCCTTCCCCCGGCCAAGGGATTTCTATTCCTGTGAGCCCAGCCTACCCACCCCTGTGTGCGCAGGGCATCTGTAGTGGGTGAGGCCACACCGCTCCTTCTGGGCTGGTTCCCCACAGGCTCCATGAGGTGGAGATGGAGCCCTCGCTGTCATCCTTCGACTTCCAGCACCTGCTTTCCAACCTGACTGCCCTCCGGATCCAGGCTGGTAGCAGCCAGGCACCATGTAAGTGACCCCCGGCAGCCAGGAGGCGGCTGCTTTGTAGGGAGCCTGTCCCTCCAGGGAAGGGCTGACTGCAGCTTTTTGCAGACAGTGAGTGCTGCAGTGGGTAGTCCTGCAGTGAAACAGGGATATGGCATCCTCGGAAGTGAGGTTTCAGCTTGTCGGGTCTCCAGGGAAGAGACTGTCTCCACCTTTTTGTGTGTGCAACCCCTGGCACAGGCAAGGCCCTGGCTGAGATTGAGGGCAGCCCTAGACAGGGCATTAAATGAGACAGCATTGGGTTCCCCTCCCAAACTGGCAGTTCATGGGAGGGTTCCCCTACCCACTTTAACTCCCTTTCCTCCTTCCGCAGGCAGGGTCTCCTTGCACGAGGTCCGGCTCACCTCTGCTCGGCCGGGGCTCTCCTCGCCCGCGTCCTGGGTGGAAGACTGCGTCTGCCCGCAGGGCTATGTCGGGCAGTTCTGCGATTCCTGCGCACCTGGTTTCAAGAGAGAGGCTCCCTTCGGTGGGCCCTTCTCCAGTTGCATCCCCTGCACCTGTAACCAGCACGGCAGCTGTGACCCCAACACAGGTCCACGGTCCCTCCCGGTGACTTGTCTTTGCCACTGCGTGATCTCGCCTTCTTTTGCAGGAGACCATCCTGGCCATCTGCTCATTCCCTGGCTTCCCAATTAGCCATATAATTACCTGGCAATTACACTGTAAATCATAGATAATAGCTCTGCATAATTGCATGTTCCCAAAGAATAGTAGGGAATGATGCCAGGAGCTCTAGCACCCAGCGTCTCTAAGTTTTTAATCGCTGGGTAAATTACAAGGGGCTACTTTCTGGCAGAAATACCTGACTAACTGCAATGTTACTGGTGATAGTAGGTGGTAAGTCACACATCTACCACTGTAAATATATATGGGGCTGGAGAAGAGAGAGCATAAGGAGGAATGAAATGCATTGAAAGGCAGGAAGTGTTGGTCATAACCATGTTGGTCTAAGGACATGGGCAGACAAGGTTCTTTGGGTAAATGTGATATCTTTTATTAGACCAACTAAATAGTTGGAAAAATTGTTCTTTACAAGCTTACCAGGTAGAAATACCCTTCTTCAGGCATAGAAAGAGTCTGCTGTTGTTTTGTGTTCTCCTTGAAAGGCAGGAAGCACTGATAAAGGGTGGTGGAGCTATTGGAAGGAGAGTGAGCCTAGCAACAATGCTTGGGGTAGATATGAGGAGCAGAGATAAGCGGCAGAGAGTCTGGGTGATGGTTGCTGCAGCGGGGCTAAAAGCAAATCAGCGTGGGCAAGGCAGGGGAGAAAGCGAGGAAGAAATGGATTATGGGGGCTATGGAGGAGGAATGAGGGGTTTAACAAAAGAGCTAGAGAGATCCTGAGACTGTATGGTACATGCCATGGGACCGCGTGCTGCAATGCAGCTATGGTCCTGCTACAGGAGTTTACATGTGTGCACACACATGCACATGTGGCTGGGATGTTTTTGCACATGTGAATTAGGACTCAAAGGTCCTGTGCAAGGAAATGCGCACTGTCTGCATGTCACTGCAGTTGGGAGGCTTGGGATCCTTGTCCCCCTCTGAAGGCTGGCTCAGAGAAGAGGTCAGTGAGGTTGTTAATGAAGCATGTGTGGCTGTGTCCACACTGGGCAGGTGCTAGAATGTGTGGCAACAGAGCCTGAGACCGCCAGCCCTGTGCTAAGCCCTACTGTGCTCCGGTGTGCCCCGTGGCTATTTGGTGGCTTGCTGGGATGGGATTTGGGATCCTTTGGTTGGCATCACTGGCTGAAAGCCCTCTAGTTAGCTGCATGCAAAGTGGGGCTTAAGTGCTGCACTGCTACTGATGAATGGGGAGAGAACTTCAGAGGCAGAGGTAGACAGCAGTGGAGGAACTGCAGGGAGGCGAGGGGTGATTATCAGGCCTTAATCTGTCCAGGCTGCAACCTGATTCCACACTGTAAAATGAGTCGCTGCTCACGTTACAGCAAGTTGTTTGGGGGCGGGGGTTATATATTTTGGAAATTTTTTCATATACCAGGTCAAATTAGCCAGATCGGTTCTGAATTCTTTGAATCATTCAAAAGCTTTATGTGCCCCACTACCGGCAAGTATTCTCCGCCTCAGGCTTTTCAGCCTGGGGTTCAGATACTTCCAAATCCTTTGGCAGGCATCCTACTTTATATATATATAT